CAGAACAGCTTCAAGGCTGCTGACTGAGATGGTCCAGTCTCATAGAATATTCTAGACAGGATAAATCTTGTGCTTTCCCATTGCACAGAGACTGGACCACAAATGTTATAGCTAGTTTTGGCCAGTACTTGACCATTATCCCAATTTTCTCAGGATCCCCAAAGATGCCATCACCCCCCAGACAACAGGAAGTAATTTTAAGAACATAATGCCCACATTTTCAAGAGGTGGGGTGGGAGGTTTTGGTTATTTGATGGATGTTTGTCATCATTTGGGGGGGTTGGCTACAAGTTGTTATTGGTTATAGTCAGCTAAACAGATGCATTTAGACTTAGAGTTCTCTTTCTGAAAGAAAAACGGGATATAGTATAGAAATGATGAGATAAAGGATGGATTGTTGAGTCTATTTTTAAACAACCACCAGTCTCAAATATTTTACATTGATATGGATTTTTGTATACTGATGCTAATTAAGGTTATTTTTGTTATACTGTATATGTGTTTCTATTCTTGTTTAAAATATTATACATATACAGCTTCTTTAAAATTTAGTCCTTCAATGCTATTTAGGATAATAAAGGAATACAGGTTAATAGTCATCTATAACAAATTTATAGTTATGTTAGGAGTGTTTTCAAGGTCATACAAAGATACATTTTAAATAGATAGGAGATCTTCAAACACTTCAAAGACCTACAGAATATGGTATTTAAAATGTAATAATAACATAAGGCTTTTCATGATAATGAGACACATCTGCTCCTGACAGTACCAATTTACTTTAAAAGAAGATGATTTCTCTTTTTTTATTAGACTGTTAGAATGTCTTTTGGTAGGTAATGAGTTAAGAGTGAGAGGAATTCTTCAGTTATTACAATAGCAAGATTAGTAATGTTTGGGGTGTTTGACATCCCAGTAATTAGTGAAATGTTTACATAGGTCATTTAAGTTTGGTAGCCTTCATTTTATTCACATAAGAGATGTTTTTTTTTCTTGGATCTTAATATTTTATGATCCCAAGACTCTATTAAAAACTATGTAAGGCAAAGATGTTTGTGATTTCTAGTCTGTGTTCTTACAACACTGAAAAAATTATAAATATATAAATTCAAAATATAAAAATTTAAAAATTTTACGAATAAAGTTAATTTTAATGTTGGATTTCTTGCAGAGGCAGGTCAAGGATTTTTATTTTCCACAGTGCATTATGTAGGAAAAACTTTCAAACTGTGCCTTTATTTTTATGTTTCTAAAATTGTATTTATTCTCTGGTAATTTCATATGCACATATACTCTACTACTCTATTTTTATTTATATTTTAAATTGTACTTATTCTTTGGTAATTTCACATTTGCATACACTCTCCATGGATCATATTTCTCCACTCTGTTCCCCACTCCAACTCTCATCTCTTCTTGGACAACAACTCTCCCATGTCCTCCTCCCAGCCTCATGTCTTGTGTTCATATATATATATATGCATGTGTGTATATACATATATATGTAGATATTGGTGTGTTATAACCCACAGAACCCAGTTAGTGTTGTCAATGTGCATATTGGTGTAGGGCTGTCCACTAGAGCATAAGCAATGCACTTCACTGAAGAACACTCACCGACTATCCTTACCCTTGTGGCCATTAACTTTCAATTTGTTTCCCTTCCCTCTCCGTGCTAACTAACTTTTAACCTTTAAATATTTGTTTCTCTTCTCTAAATTTCAAATTTAGTTACTAGTCTCTAAAATCGCTTCATCTCATTCTCACTATAACCCCCCCCCCCCAACTATGAGTCTTCTATTTCGTTCTTAAGATCTAGCTCCAGCAAATGTTTGACTTAAGGGAAAATAGTCTTGCTCAAGTCAAAAACACTCACACCTCACCCCAGTACTATCATCAGGGAAGATGAGGAGGACACAAAAAGGGAGAAGGGGAATGAGAACATGGAGGGGGGATGGTGGGCATCAAGTACTTACTATGCATGTATGTATGGTAATGTTCCAGAGAAACCCAGAATGTTGTACAATTAATATGTACTAATGAAAAAGAAAAACAGCATATTTTGGAAGGTCTTGACAAAATTCTTTGTTAAAATCAAACACTTCTTGTGTCTCCATGGAGAAACCATGGCTACACTTGGCATGAAGCATTTGGGCTGAGATCACCATGGGTGTGGGAGTGGGTGCTCATATGAGTTTATAATTCTCAGAAGGCCTTTCATTCTGGCCTGGTCCTGTATGTCGTCCCTCTCTCCCAACCCCATCTCATTTACATAGTAAAGTCCATCAAAGGCCTTTCCCTGCTCCTCTTCACAGACTGTCCTGGCTCCTCCCTATACCCAAGCTCAGTGTGGCCTGAGCTGATCTTGTAGCTCTGGCCAGGTTCTCCTGCCCCAAGGCAGCAGCCTCTGAGACTGGTCCAAGAGCTCCCAGAAGATCAAGCTGCAGGAGAGAACCAAGTTCAAGCCCAGAGACAGAGTGAAGCTTGTGGAGAAGTGAGCCTTCTGAGAGAGCTAGTTGTGACACCATGAGTGCTGGAGCCACAGCCCCCAATAAAGCACCTCTGAGGGCAAAAATGAAGCAAATATAAATTTAAAAATCACATATTGGGCTCGAGAGATGGCTCAGTGGCTAGGAGCACTGGCTGCTATTCCAGAGGTCCTGAGTTCCATTCCCAGAAACCACAGGGTGACTCACAACCATCTGTAATGAGGTCTGGTGCCCTCTTCTGGCCCGCAGGCATACAAGCAGACAGAATACTGTATAAATAAATAAATAAATAAATAAATAAATAAATAAGTAAATAAATGGGCTTGTGAAGTTATGACTGACTCCTGGTTGGGGGGGGGGCTCTCTCTGCTCCATTGTCTGTTGTCAGTAATCCCAACACTCTCAACCCCATCATGATCTGAGCCTTCAGAAAGCGCAGACAAAATAGACAGACATCTCTCGTAAGCTGTTTCTGTTAAAGTATTATGACAGCGATTCAGAAATAATGCATTGAGAATTTCTAATGATCTATAGAATTGATGGACATTTAAAAATTGAATTAGAAACTATTGAGATGACAGGCAAAGGGGCTTGCTGCCAATCCTGATGGCCTGAGTTCAATCCCCAGGATCTGCATGGTAGAAGAGAAGAACCAGCTACTGCAAGTTGTAGTCTGATCCCACATGTATTTGTGGCATTCACTTAAATAAGTAAATGTGATAAAAAATTAAAGACGGCATAAATAAAATAAAAATTAATCCCCTAGGGAAGATGGCCTGATGGATACGCCGATGTCTTTTTCTTCCCCGAGATGACCAACCAACTACAACAGTAGAGGCAGGCTCCTCATGTTGCTACCCTGCTACTCTTTGGTTCTGTGACTGGGGTGAGAAAGTCACCTAGTGCATTAACACAGACAGTTAATTCTGAAACTTGAGACCAGACAGCAGAGGTCGGTGAGTTGAAGGTAACGTGTGAAAAATAAGCAGTTACTAATAGCTATAGGAAATAAGGGTGGGGGTGATCCTGTGTGTTTAGACTATTGTGTAGACCCGTGGGAACCTCGGATGTGTTGGTGCCGGTGGCTCTGTGGACTGGAAAACAAAGACCCCGCGCTACTTCACAGTAAACACTCATCTTCTTTCATCTCTTTGGCTGGAAAAGTCGGCTTCAAGCTGCATCTTGAGTGATAATGAAGATACAACATCTAAGAAAGATGATATGGTTGCTCCAGGGATGGGGAAGACACCTGGAGAGCTCTAGGGCTCAGTGGGAGATAAGACTAGAGGTTTCTACCCAGTCCTTAGGGTAGCTGAATTGCAGCTGAAGGCCACACTCAGAACTTTTAACAGCGAGGCTTCTTTTGCTCACCCAGGGCTACTGAGCATGTAGGTATTCTGGGGAAATCTTTTCTATTCTAGGACACCAATGGGTATTGGAAAGCCTGGCTCCAAGAGATGTTGAGGAATCTCAGGCCAAGGAGCAGACCCCTTTGCTTCTGCTCCAGGCTTTGTCCTTTGCCTGATGCTAATGTGCCCTTTGCATTCAGTTTCCCAGGCATTTTCTTCCCACTGTCCTCATCTTCCCGTCCTCCTTTCTGATCACACCCTAGTGAGCGGGTGGTTTGGCTGTGCTCCTCTCACACCCGTGTGTGAGTTACTTTACAGGTTAGAGAATCAGGCGGCTCAAGTACAATCATGCTAGGCATCTGTTACTCACTCCTGGGAACTGGAAGCCATTCTAGAACCGAAGCATTTGTTGAGACAAGATGCTGACAGGTTACTTTCTACTCTGCAAAAAAATCAAGTCTCTTCTTGGTATGCAGGAAATGATAAGTAGGTCACCAGAAAGGCAGGACTGAGATCACAGTCGTAGCTGCAAGAGTCCAAGTACAGGAGGAAGGTGGTGGCATCCTTAGACCCTCTGGCCAAATGGCACACGTGCTGGGGAAACTTTCGTAGGATGGTATCACGCAGAGTGTAGGAGGATTGCAAACTTTTTTGGAATGTCAAGCAAGAAGAGGGGTGTGGATTTTTATTTCATTTTATTATTTTATTTTTCTAAGGCACTTGATAAAAGCAAGGACTACAGGTGCCCAGAGGTATCTTAGCACATTTAGGCACTTTCAAGATGTTTTTGTACCAGTATCAAGTAAAAACATTTTCAATTAGTTAATTAACTAATAATTAATTACATATTCCACCCCTCTCATTTCCAGATTATGCATTTTTCTTCTTACTCAAGGAATGTTCTTACTTATGTCATGACAAGTTTTGAGATAACTATGTGGGGAGAGAGAACAAATCCCTTTTATTTTTGGCAAAGTTATGTGTTGGATTATCATACCACACCACATTATTTTTAATAGAAATAATGAGGATGGAGAATTAATTCTTACATTTCTGTTTTCTTAGTGTATTTATTAGTGTGGGTGTTCAATAGCTCAATGGCCACCTCAATTGACATTGTTAATAAGAGAAACACACAATAAAGAGCCATATTTTCTTTTGTTTTTCTTCCCTTCCCTCCCTATTCTTCCCCTCCCCTTTTATGTTTGTATTGGGAATAGATGAACGCTAGTCAAGGACCAATCTACACAATGCTCAGGCTTCCATTTTGTTTTCCTTCTGCCCAAAAAATAGCACTTCACTACCCTCCTCTCTATATTCCAGATCTCACATTCTCTCTGTCCTCTCTTCGTAATGTTTGCAGAGCCATAAAGAGGGTGATAGAAATGTTATATTCAGAACCGATCACTACACTGTTACTTTTCCTTAGCACCTCGGGTGCCGAGTGTCTCTGCATTGATTGTCATTCACACATAGAGAATCTTCTCTCGTTAAGGCTGGAAGTACTATTTGCCCATGGATACAAACATAAATATTTCATAGCCTAGTTCCAAGAGCGGAAGGTTTGTATCCATTTCTTATTTAGGTGTTTCTGCATGATCAAGATTTGTGAAATACTAGACTCTTTAGTCTTTCTTTTTTAAAAGAAAAAGATTAAAAATTACACTTATTTAGTGTGCACAGGTGGAGGTCAGGAAACCACGTGGGAATTGGTTCTCCCCTTTTACCATGTGGATCCCATGGACCAAAGAAAAAAATCGTGTCCTCAGGCTTGGCATCTTTTACACCTCTTGAATCCTTGTCAGTCTTCCTTATTTGTTTTGTTGCTTTTGTGGGAAGCTCCACATTCAGTCTCTCCCTCTGTCATTTTCCTTTAACGAGCTCTCTCCAACAGTGGAGTAGATGCAGAACTAACACGGGGGATATCTGGGATATCTGAAAAAGCCATTTGGAAACTTAGTGTTTCTTAAATTCATGTGAAGGAGTTTAATTTGGGTTACCATACAAATCACGCCTCTCCCAGAAGTCACAGATTGCCAAATAAAAAGTCCACTGTCAAGAATGGGACACCTCCCCTTAAGCTGTTGTTAAGCTATCCCAGAGACACCCCCAAACAATAAAGGCTGTTGCCACTGTTTCTGATTGCCCAGGAATTGATGGTAAGTCCCTACTGTTGAAGACAGCATGACCTTTAGTCACGGGACCTGGAGAAATCAAGTTGGCACTGACCAGTAAGTTTCTCCCATGCTGGCCAACTTTCAGAGGACTGGATAGTGCTATGTAGACTGCTGTTGGGGGGGGGCATCAATAACCCACCTAATAACCTGTAATAATCACCAGTAAGGTAATATATGCCATGACTGCAAGGGTGGCACAAAGGTTTTGGGAGTAACAACTACTTTCTGATTGGATTTAAGGCCTGTTCCCTGGGATGAAATGCATGTTTAGTACTATAAACCATCCAAAACCCATACCTGGGAAGTTCCCAGGCTTTGGTGGTGAACCCATCACTACTGTTTTGCTAATGGATATGGTAGCAAATAGTTCTCTACATTTATGTCTCTCTATCCACAGACCAGCATAGCTCTCACATGTAATGAGAGAGTTTTCTCTGTGCCACAGATGGTGGTTAATGCAGAAACTTACAAGTGATCAAAATGCATAAAATAAACATCTCTGGTGCGCACTTAGCCAATGGGACATCTATATCACACCTTCTCCCATGAAGGGTCAGGGACCAAGTAGAAGAGGAGGTGGGAGATCATAAGAGACGAAGACTGAGGAGGACCAAAGGAAAACAATGAACCACTGCTCTCATGAACACTCAGTAGCTGTAGCTGCTGTGTAAAACCTGCACAGGGTCAAGCCAGTCAATATTTACTGGTACGGGTGAAGTGGGGCTCATGGGCCCCTGCTCCTGAGGTGCTATTGTTATGAGATGGTTTCTAGGGAAGGGAGAGCAGCTTTCTTCAAGGGTGTGGTTCCTGGTAGATAGACCATATGCCAGTGAATGACCTCACACCCAGGAGTATATGAGGAACACAAATTGGACTCAGTGGTTATAAAAAAAGAGAAAAAGACAAAGACAGGACATGAGATTGAGATTGAGGTGGGTGGCAGGATCCTGGAAGAGCTAGGGGAAGAAGTAGAGATGAATATGGTAAAAATACACTGTATAGGAGACCACTTCCTAAATATAATACCAGTAGCACAGACATTGAGAAAAACACTAACAAATGGGACTTCCTAAAACTGAGAAGCTTCTATAAAAGCAAAGGACACGGTCAACAAGACAAAATAGCAGCCTACAGAATGGGAAAAGCTCTTAACCAAGCCCACATTGGACAGAGGGCTGATCTCCAAAATATGCAAAGAACTCAAGAAACTGGTCATCGAAAGAACAAATAATTCACTTAAAAAATTGGTACAGAGAACTTTCAACAGAGAAATCTAAAATGGCTGGAAGACACTTAAGGAGATGCTTATCATCCTTAGTCATCAGAGAAATGCAAATCAAAACACTCTGAGATTCCATCTTACACCTGTAAGAATAGCCAAGATCAAAAACACTGATAACAGCTTATGCTGGAGAGGATTTGGGGTAAAGGGAACACTCCTGCATTGCTGGTGGGAGTGCAAACTGATACATCCCCTTTAGATATCAGTATGGAAATTTCTCAGAAAATTAGGAAACGACCTACCTCAAGACCCAGCAATATCACTTTGGGTATATATGCAAAGGATGCTCAATCATTCCACCAGGACATGTGCTCAACTATGTTCATAGCAGCATTGTGTGTCATAACCAGAACCTGGAAACAACCTAAATGTCCCTCGACCAAAGAATGGATAAGGAAAATGTGGTACATTTACACCATGGAGTACTACATAGCAGAAAAAAATAATGACATCTTGAAATTTGCGGGCAAATAGATGGATCTAGAAAACATCATATTGAGGGAGGTAACCCAGACTCAGAAAGACAAATATTATATGTACTCTCTCATAAGTAACTTTTAGACATAAAGCGAAGAAAGCCAGCCTACAATTCACAACCCCAGAGAACCTATACAACAAAGATAACTCATCAACTGGGTGGATTCTGTTGGGAAATCTTCACCAAAGGTTTTGAGGATAATTTTGGAGATGTACTGATTTTATGGCAGAGAAAACCACCGTTTGTTGCGACCCATCTGTATATTTTGCCCCCCCCCCTTCCACGAGGTAGGCCTAGACAGAAGCAATCAATGAGCTATCCAGTAATGGCTCTGAGCTGGGTTTTAACTAGCATCATTCCCTGCATAACGATGGCATCACAGTACCTCATTCCAGTGGCAATGTTACAGCTTTGGAATGGATCTAGTGACTCATTTCATCTTTCAACTGACGTATAGACTTTAGGCAGATAAGTAAGTGCCTCTTGGCTTAAGCCAGAGGGCATGGTGGAACATTCCAGTTGCTTATCTGGTTCTGTAATTGGGTTTACTCCCAGTGGCACCTGTGAGCACTGAAGACGTGTCGTAAACAGTAATGTATGTAGTAGGAAGGTACAGGGCAGCCTAGGGTTTGCCTCATTTGTGCTATGAGAAGAATATAGTCATGGAAAACACACAGGTCAAAATGGAGGCTTGTATAGGGTCAGGGCATGGTGGAAAACATCTACTGGTTAAACTGGATTGTTATATGCTGGTTTGAATTATGAGGCTGACATATTGCAAGAGCTTAGGGTCATCTTCTACTAAATAGAAATGAAGTCATCAGGTAGCAAGATCTATAAAAATTGTTTTATGTTATTGAAATATGTGAACAACTTTTGATATCCTCTACTTCCTGTAGAGAGTTCCGGGGCTAGTATTTGCATATTGTGAGCAAAGAGGTTGAGAGCCAAAGAGCATGATGACTTCCCCAGTCACTCATGAGCTACTGCCATGGATGCTTAGGCAATTAGTCATTCTTCAGCCCCAGAAGACACAACAATCTGTTCTAAAACTGTCCCGTGGACACATTTTTCCTAACCGTACAAAGCTACTTCACAATTAAATTACCAAAAAGGTTGGTAGCCCTATCAACTGTCCCCCATGAGGTTTTCCTTGGTGTATCCTGTAAACCGCAGAACAAGATGGATCACTGTGATCCTGGCAGAGTTATGTCTTTTCTGGGGCTAGCCACAAACCTACAAAGGCAGCGAAAACTTTGAAAGGGCAATCTTACTGTATTTATGAAAACATGCTGTGAGAATGGCAAGATAATATGACCCTGATTCTCTCCCAGTGGCATTTTTTCAATTTAAAAAAAATTTTGTTGTTGTTGTTGTTTTATTAGAAAAACCACTGAAAGTAGAAATAAAAAGTAACTTTTCAAGGTTATATTTCCAAGTTCAATTCACTTCTTAAATTAGGGTCTGGGTCCTTTCTGCACTTGGTTTTGAAAACAATTTGCTATTTTTCCTTCTTTCCTAAAATATATATTTATTTTTATTTCTTTTTTTATCTATTTATTTTTTTATTTTTATTTTTTATTTATTTTTATTTCTATGTGCATTGGTATTTTGTCTACTTGTAAGTCTGTGTGAGGGTATAGGATTTACTGGAACTAAAGTTATAGATAGTTGTGAACTGCCATGTGGGTACTGAGAATTGAAATTGGGTCCTCTGGAAGAATAGTTGGTGCTCTTAACTGTTCTTAAGTGGGCTTAGCAATATGTTTTTAAAAAGATACAGAAAAAAATGAGAAAATAAAAGGTAAGAACTTCCTACAATGGGGGATAATTCTATTTTAATGTTGGTGAATTTCCTTCAGGTTTGTTGACATAAATATAAGTAAACATGATTTTCTATGATGATTTAGCCCATCTTTTATGATCTTGCTTCTTACTTGTCTCCTATCACTATGTGACAGCGTTCCTTGTCTTATAAGTACTTCAAAGATCACCTTGCCTGCACTCGCCTGAGCCCAGCAGATGTCCACACAGCGACTATCCACAGAGTTGCGCCACGGGCCCATGGAGAGGACATGGGCAGAGCGATGGTGGATAGACTGGGTCTGGGGTTGCTGCTTCTGGCACTGCTCCTACCCACACAGATTGATTGCAACCAAACATCTGTTGCACCGTTTTCAAGTAACCAGAATATCTCTACTGCCCCAAATCCAACTAATGCCACCAGCAGAGCAGGTGGCAGGGCCCTGCAGTCAACAGCCTGTCTCCTCACCGTTTCACTTTCTCCTCTACATCTCTACTGTTAGAGACTCAGGCCAAGGAACATCTCTACTTCCCCGTCCTCTAGAGCCACCCCAGATGATAACCACAAATCCAGTGTAACCCAGAAGAAACAGGTCCACATCAAATTTGCTACTACCACACCTCAACAGAAAGCATGGAGAATTCATGAGAAAAAAGGTTTGACAGATGGTGAATGCCAATATTGAATCTGCTGGAATTTTATGATCACGATGAAGATAACAGCCAGAGCTGACATGATTTCCTTGAATGTGGCTTAAGAAATGTGGACACTTAAAACTCTAACTTGAAATCAATGTAGGCTTTATGTAGAGATAATGATGGGCTGTGGGACAAAGATTCAGTTTTCATTGGCTCATTCAACCTATAAGGCCATAACACAGTTAGGTGACCTTAAGAAGCTTCTCTGATGCTATTTATGTATATGTTGGAAGGAACTACCAGGTGTTACTTTAAATCCTCACTGTATTGTTTCCTTACTACTAATTTAATATGCTAAACTCTAGGTAAAGTTCTCCATTGTTGAGTTGTTCTCTTTGGAATTGAACATTTTACCCACTCCAGTGACTTTAGGTTTGACATTATATTTGACCCTTATTAGTATTTGACATGTGCCAGGCAACAACAGATTGGAATCCACCCCCAAATCCAGCCATCATTAAATAAATCTTATTTCAAAAGTCAAATAGTAGGCATTTTCCATCATCTTTTTTTCACTCAGCAAGTGTGCCAGATTCCCTTAAGTAAACCGGTTCCAGAGAGCAGAATTGGGTTGACTTAAGCCAATTTCAAAATGCTGCTTTTTATTTCTGCATATGTTGAGGGGTTTTCAAAATTTAAAGTGTGGTCTGTTTGGAAGGCAAATTTATGAATCTTGAGATTCTAAAGGCAAATATACAAAGGAGTCAAAACCATAAACCTAGCCTTTGGGACTTGAAGCCTGGAAGCTAACTTGCATTGAATTCACAATCTTTTATACAATTTCTGTAAATACTCTTTTAAAAGCAGAGAAACAAAACAATGGATCAGAATAGCCACATTTGGAATGGTTTGGTTATCAGTTCATATTTTTAGATAGTTTGACATTGGTCCCGTACCTGGAAGGGAGCTTGGCTTTACTGTGAGTTTTTCCAATGTCTCGATACACAATGACCTTCTAAAACAGACATTCCTTGAAAAAAACTGCTTTGCTCTCATGGTCACATACTGATGCTTACACATTCTGGGGTCTAATATGGCTGCAGTAGTCTTGATAACCAATCATTTTCACCACCTTTAGAAACCTGCCTGGGATCAAGGAGATCTCATAGACCCAAAGGTACTCCCTCTCACCTAGTACCTGAATGTTGTACATCTATTTGATTGTATATTGTGTTTGTGTATTTATACTTTGATTCATAGTAACTTCTCATATTATGGAATTGATTTGCATTGAATGCAAAATGTAAATAAAGGAAAGAAATGGCTGAAAAAAAGTACTTCAAAGATATTAAATGCCAACAAAACACCCAACCATATGGTTGTTTTATAATTATTTTATGACTATACTATTGAGTATTTGGGGTTTTTTATCATTGTACTTCCTACTCTAGCTGCACTTCAATGAACAGCTTTGCATGTCATTTTCAACAGTTAATAACTATTTTATTCTTTAAGAATGTCATCCATGTATAATCAATGCTATATGACCATAAGCACTCCCACTTACACCTTCCGGTTTGCTCCACATTCCTCCAGCACCCTCCTCTTTAGTTTCATGTCTTTTTTTTCTTTTTGATAACTGAGCAAGCCTGATTAGAACCACCCATGTGTGGATGGGTGTGGGACCATCTACTGGCTTGCTGGAAACCTACAGGCGGTCACACCCTCACAGAGGAATGATTTTCCTTCCCCCGGCAGCTATCTCCCATCAATGGCTTCTCACTAAGGAGTGGAGCCTGAAGCTCATCACCCTCTTCTTCCTCATCTCCTGCATTTGGTTAACTTGATTTATGCATGTACCCAAAGCTGTGTGATCTCAGGAGAGCAATAGCCCTGCCATTCGTAGAGGACAGGGTTTTACAGCCCTCCTTTCCATCCTCCGGCTCTTACATTCTTTCCGCCTCTTCTTCTGAAATGTTGTTCAAGAAACGATGGGGTAAGATGTTAACAAAGATGCTCCACGTAGGGCTGAACACTCAGTTTCTTCTTCTCAACTTTTTGACCAGTTCTTTGCCGAGAGATTTTGCATTCAGACATACTCACACATGTGCACATGCATGTGTATGCACACACAAACACACACACAGAAGAATAATAGTTAATCTTGGTTGGCAACTTGGGAAGACTTAGAATCACTATGAAAATGAACTTCTGGGCATACATAGGAGGGAATTTCTAGATTAGGTTGGTTAAGGGAAGTGGGAGAAAATACCCTGCACTTCACATGGGTGTTACCCATCCATGGCCTGGGGTCCTCAACTGGATTAAAAAGAAACAAGTTGAGTATAGAGATATTCAGCTGTCTCTGCTTCCTGACTGTGGATACAGTGCGCCCATCTGTCTTCTGCTCTTGCTGCCTTAACTTTCCCTCAACGTGTGGACCAGAGGAAACCATTCCCCGCTAAGGTGCTTTCATCAGATATTTTGTCACACCAATGAAAAAAGAAAACTAACACACACACACACACACACACACACACACACACGATTTAAAGCACTGGAGATTGAATGCAGAGCCTCACATATGACAGACTGTGTTCCACCTCTGAGTACAGTCCTAGCCATCCTTTAAGTTTATTTTGAGACTGTCTCATTAGTTGCCCAGACCAGACTTGAGCTCTATAGTCCAGGCAGGTCCTGAATTTGCAATCTTCCAGCGTCAGCTTCCAGAGTAGCTAGGATAACAAGCAAGTGTCGCTGTCAAACCTGCCTTAATAGATAGGTCTTGTCTTATATAAACAATTAGGCTTAGGTGTTTTAGACTGAAGAAACATGTCATAAATGGATGCCTGAACGTTCTGTACAGAAGTGTAGTAAGCTTAAACCTGTATAAAACTGAAGGATTCAAGCCATGCCCATTATTGCACCGACAAGTGGGTCTTTTAGCCAATGGCATTGGTAAAGGTCAAATGTTATTCTCTACTCTATCCTGAAGCTTCATGCTCTGAAAGACCATGGGGACTCGGTGACAAGGATGAACAGAATTCTTTAGCAAGTTACTCTCTGATCAGTCAGACAGTTATTTTTAGCTGGCTTCTTCATGGCAGTGCTGAGAAAAATATGTAGGGGAATTTTCCACTTTACAATAGGGAGCTACCACGATTTCATCATCATGGGAGCAATTGCTCAGTTACATATTAAAACCTTTGGTCTGCTGAATAAATATACTTAGTACCCTGAGGCTCCTTTGGAAAGTACGGGAATGACAGAATATACCTTCTCTCCTTCCCTCAGCTCTCTGCTTCTGGTTCTTACATTTCTCTGGCAAAATATCTACTTGATGGGGTTAGGGTGTGGTGCATTTACATCACGAGGCAGTCACTCCTCTTCTCCAGGAAGGAAAATTAAAAATTATCAACCGTTAGTGAGTTTATACCAGGGCACAGCAAGCAGGGGTGAATACTGAATCATGTGGCAGACTAAAGACTCCACTTAGTGAGTCTTGGTTGCTGTCCTGCTCATGAGCCAATTCCTTACTTCCCAACATTGCTAACTGTGCAGGGAAACTCTATAGAGAATTTCTGGAAGGATTTTGCTGTATCAAAAGCTATTGAATATATACATGAGTTTTGACTCCACAATTGCATATTTTGGGTTTTTCTTAAGAAAATTACTAGGAATATGTGCAAAAATTCATGCAAAATGCTTTTCACAGTACCAGTGATAATAAGTAAATGACTTGCAACAACCTCTGAAGATAGACCATGGCTAAACATGTAATAAAGATAAAAATGATGAAAATAATGACACAGAAAATTTGTTGATATGGGCCAGATCCCATAGCCTTAAATAAAAAGAAGACTCTTTATGGTGTGCATAGTTAATACTAAACATATGACTAGCAACCATCCTAAAAGTGGTTTGGTATTTAAAGTCTCTGACCTCTGAATGGCAAGCACATGATTCTTTTTTTTGCTATATTTATTTATTTATTTTAAGATTTATTCATTTATTATGTACACAGTGTTCAGCCTCCATGTATGCCCTCAGGCTAGAAGAGGGCAACCAGATGGTTGTGAGCCACCATGTGGTTGCTGGGAATTGAATGCAGGACCTCTGGAAGAGCAGCCCGTGCTCTTAACCTCTGAGCCATCTCTCCAGCCCCTTTTTGCTATATTTATATATTTATATTTCAACAGGGTATGAATCATAGCAATTTACTTAGTATTTTAAATATGGGCATGCATATTTGGTAGTCATCTGGTAGTCAGAAGACAACTTTTGGGAGTTAAGCCTCCTCTTTTCACTGTGTGCTCCTGGGATCGAACTCATGTTGTCAAGCCTGGGTGGCAAACACTGTCACCCACTGACTTATCTCAATAGCTCTATGGCAAATTTTAAAGTAGTAAACCTAAAATATTTTTTTACTGTATTTTGTTTTATAGAATTTCTCCAGCTTCCACAAAAAGATAGTGGATGATTTGTATATTCAACTTAACAAGTATATTTCTTTTTGTGGTAAAAATCTTTTGAGGAAAAGATGAACCCTTTAATCATTATATTAAGAGCACTTTAGAGGTTCAGGAGAGAGAAGTTTCTGAGGCTCACAAATGCACAGTTCTTAGACTGTTATGGAGCCCCCCACCCCAAAGCCACCATCAACTCCAATACATCATGACACTTTCTCCTCGGGATCCTTCTCAGCACATGCCATAGAGGCCGGCATCTATTTGCCACCTCAGGAAGTTGTCATATGCCATTTAGCTGTCACACTGCTGGAGAGTTTGTTGTGCTTCTCCACTGAGTATTCTTTTTAGAGAAGTAGACTAAAACAAGAGGCTTAATGTTTCATCAAGGAAAGTCCTCTGGAGAAGATGCCACGAAGGCTCCAGAATATCTAAATAAGTCAGCGTAGTGGTGTGGCAAACGTCATGCATTGCAGACGTGACACATCGGGAACATTGTGGTACAGTCAATCTGTCACTGTGCACCTGTCAACTGTATACACCTAGAGCATTTACGTGTCTTCTCATGGCTCTAGTCTCATTCCCAGACATTCAGTGTCAGACTTTTAGAAGAATCTGTGTCCTCATTCATTCTGCGTTTCCGTGCATAAGCCTTAGTTGAGCCAGTCAGTTTTGAGGAACTCAGTTAATGATGGGACAAAGCAATGCAGAGTTAGCTTGAAAATGCTGGTGTTTGAAAACATCATCGTATCATACAAGAAACAAGGCTCTTAACAAACAAACAATCAATGCTCTAAGAACAAATTTGCTTTGGCGGAACAGAACTGTCCTTACTGAATTGAAAGTTTAGCCATGGGAAGTGGACTGATTCTGTATGTGGATTATATCTCAGCAGCAAGACTTACAATAAATGAGGTTTAACAACTTCAGGATCCACAGTGGGAAATTCCTACAGGAACTTCTGAGCCCTCTTTGTGGTTACATTAATAATCAGAGTCTTATTACAGTGACGGGCAGGTGGAGAGCAGCCAACCCCCAACTTCCTCAAGCAGCTGAAGTGATCATCTGAAATAATCAGGAGCAATCTCTTTTATAACACCTAACAACAAATCCTTTTGACCACAAGACATGCCTGTTCAAGCACAAGGTGGAGGTTGATGGCCAATACTGAGGGTCTTCCTTAAGCGTACTCCATTTTGTTTTCCCAGACGAGGTCTCTCCCAAACGCTCACCCAGAGGTCTCTGCACTTGACTCCCTTTCATGCTCTGTATTCCATTCACTGTGACAACTTTCCTTTAGTTATTGAAACCTGCACATGTGGGCTTGTTCTTTGTGTCCCCTTCCTTCATCTTCAATGTCTAGTGAATATAAAATTCCAGTTCTAACATATATTCCCCAGCGCATCTACCTCTCAGACCATCTCTACCATGTCTGCACAGTCTATACATGCCCTGCTTGCACTTACGGTCTACCTATGTTCCCCTTTGGATTGGTCGCTTTCTTGTTACTATGACACATACTTGATGTGACCCAACT